CAGAAAAGTCACCAATGAACTTTCATGTTCTCTGACTTCAGGAGGCTTAAGTCAGACTGACCACCAGTAAGGAATGGAGGAAGTGAGGACAGTGAGTCCTCCAGATTTTTCTCTAGGTCATTTAGCATAGCTGTGTCCTCCAAGAGAGGTCGTGTCTCCTCCACAGATTCTTCAGTGAGAAACTGGTCACAGCCCTGTTTTCATTCTGTTTTAGGTCAGGTAATGGCAATGTTTCCTGTTCCCCATCATCTGCTTTACCATCTTCATTGCCTCCCAGAAGAAAGATTATTCTTTAATAGTTTTGATAAAATTTTCATGGATTGCTGGAAGGCATTATATATGCTGTTGGAGAAGAAGAAGAATCTGAAGGTCATACCTCAAGCTACAATAATGACCAGCTTGACAAGATATGTCCATTGGTAAGCGAGTGGCACGAATGTTGTAGGAGTAAACAACCACTTTCTGATGGAACTCGTACACGACACTGTTGACACGACTGAGAATCTATGGCCCTAGGGAGAACCCAATTTTATTATTATGCCAAGTGAACATAGTATGGAAATGTTTCCTAATGGCTTATTACTGCGCTTATATAGATGAGAACATCCCTCATCCCTCATCAGAGAATCTTCCCTTTGCAGCAGATGGCAACAATTAATATTGCGACTCTCACCTGGGAAACATGAAGAGATGAGAAACTCTAGTGCTCAGCCCTCAGTGGGATATCCATGCCACACCCCTCCTAGAAAGTATTGGGATCTTTACAGAAGAGGGGTCAGAAAGTCTATAGGAGTCAGAGGTGATGAGTAACTTAACGAGAACACTTTCCCAGACTCAATAGGTCGTATATATATGAACTACTCAGTAGCAGTTGTGACAACATGCAAAGGCTGTGCAAGCTCAAATTAGAAGAAAGATCTCAGCGTGGAAAGAGGGAGGTGAGAATGCACTCTCACCAAGGAATGACCGGCATTTAATACCTACTGGGAGAATCCGTTTTCTTTAATGATGTGACTCCTGGTAGGTCAACCACCCTCTAGACCCTACTTCTAAGACTAGTTGAACAACACAGACTGGACTCAGTTGATGAAAGAAAGAGGAATGTGGCAGCAAGAAAGAAAGCTCCAAGTTGAGTGTGTTTGGAGGAAGGCGGGCAGGGTGGTTCTGGGAGGAGCTGGGGTAGGGAGTAGAGTATGGTCAAACAATTACTTTTTTCAAAGAATTAATAAAAACATTATGTTTTTCCTTTTAATTTTCAACTTTGAGTTTTCTGTGAAGTCAGGACACCATATGATATAAAGGTGAAGTTTAAATTTTCAGCAACTTGTTTAAAAATATACTTACGATATACTCAAAATGTATTGATGATTTGACTAAGAAAGGAATTTCTATGGGAAGTTGTTCTTCAGAATTTTGGGCACATTCTTCCTCTTTCTTCTACCAGTGCTGTAACCGAGAAATTTTATGTTGCTTACTCTGTGCTTAATCGTTTGTATGGACCACATACATTTGTTTTCCTAGTGGAAATGTGTAGCGAATTTCATTTCTCTTTATGTTCTGAAGTTTTGGAAGGATGTGCCTGAGTGTTAGCCTGCATTACCCAAGTCACACGGTAGGTCTCATGTGCTAGAGTCCTGTCCTTTAGTTTGGGTTTGGGTTGTATGCTGTGCTGGGGGTGGAAGTGGGAACTGTATGCAAGGGTTCCACATTTCTCTCTCCTGTCCAGGGTCATATCCTTGTATTTTGCAATATCATTCATTTTATTGTCCATATCTTTGCTGTTTTCTGTCTTTCTCTTTCTCCTGTGCTGCTGCTAGAGGCTTCCTCATGGTCTTTTCCTTCTCGAATCCTTCAGGCTTTTCTTTCCATTATCAGTTGTTAATTCACAAGACTTCTTTCTTCATTTTGTTCTCAAGACTCTTCTTTTTCCTAAAACACACCTTGTTCTAACTTTATCAGTGACTCCTAGTGAACACAGTGGCTGTCAAGTAGGGGTGATGTGTATTTGTTGTCTATTTCTGCCCAAATAAATGACCACAAGTATCGTGGCATTGACAGCACAAACTTTTCTTATAGCTGTGTGGAAGGGCAACCTGGGATCTGTTGGGTGAAAGTCATGCATTGACTCATGTTTTCCTTTTTGAATGGTCTAGGGGAGAACCCATTTCCTCTTGTTTGTGTTTTGGTAGTATTCAGTCCCCTCTGATTGTAGCACTGAGGTACATGTTTGTTTCTTTGATATAAGATGAGAGACAACCCGAGCTTCTGTAGGCCACCCACAATGCTTGGCTCACGTCTCACTTACTGCTTTCCAAGCCAGCAATGTTGGTTGAGCCTCTAATCTTCATCTCTCTTTCTGTTCCTGTCTCCCTGTGACCTCGAATGGACAAGACCCTCTCCTTCTAAGGACTCACATGCTTAGATTGGGTCTAATCATTGTGTCCAATATTCCCTCTCTTACTCAAACTCAGTACTCATAGTCACAATTTTGAAGATTCTTTTGCCATGTAAGGTCTTTCAGTCATCGGTTTAAGGGATGAAATGGTGTATAGATGTTTTTCTTGTTGTTGTGACAAAACAATAAACAAAGGGAAAGGGTGAAAGATTTTTGAAGGGAAGCAGTCCGTCGTGGTGGGAAGGGAGTGGATGGCAGTAGGAACATGAGGCAGATGGTCCTCATTGTGTCCCCAGTACAGAAGCAGAGAGACATGACTCCTGCTGCCCAGTTCCTTCCCCTTTCATGTTGCACTGACCAAGCCCGTTTAGGTGTGGTCACAGGTACGGATGTGGATATGTCACTACACCTTCACCCCCTTTCTTATGCTTGTTTTTTTTTGAGATCTCACTATGTTGCCCTAGCTGTCCTGGAGCTCACTCTGTAGACCAGGTTGGTCTGGAATTCTCAGAGTGCCTGTCTCCCAAGTGCTGAGATTAAAGTAGCACCAGTAGGCCCGGTTCCTTTCTCCATTTTTATTCCATCCATGGAAGGGTGCTGCCCACATTTCGGATATATCTTCCATCCTCAACAAACACCCTCACAGACAAGCTCAGGTGTGTCTCCTCAGTGCACTGGCTGTTTCGTAAAGCAATGAAGTCTCCTTAGTGCTCTAGCTGTTTCTTAACGCAATCCAGTTAATAACTGAAATGAACTCGAACACAGAACAAACATACTGAAGTGCCACTATTGAGTTCTGGTGCAGGGAATGCACAGGTCTGATTGTCACACTTAGCAGGAAGTCCCTACTCCAGGAGGGCTGAAAGGTCTTATCAAAGATACAGATGATTTTAACACAAGACATAAAAATAAAAAAGCACCTTCTGCAGGCCATCAATAGCCTTTGACTATAAGATAGAATGAACTTGTATGGAATGGATCCAGAAGAAAAAACTAGAACTAAGGGGGAAGAAGCAGACCCCAGGTCTGACAGAGTAATCTTCTATATGAAGGGCTAGTAAACAGCTGGGCAGTTTGCCTTAGAAGGCTGTGACCATTCTGTATTAATGCTAGCTATGAACAACTCACTCGGTAAATCGATAAGTGATTCAGTCCTCCGTCCGTGCAAACATACTACTGTCTTTAATGAAGCAAAGATCAATTAAAACAGTTTGTTTTCTGCTCCCAAAGAATTTGTCCCAGAGTCCTTTCTGACTGACTTCAACCCTGTCCTTCATGATTTCTGTTCTTGTCTTCAATAAAAGTATATTTATGAGCACCAATAATGGACACCTAATGCTCTAGGTATCGGGGACACATCAGTGAATGAATTAGAGAGAACACAGCAGTCTTCCCCCATCTTTCCTGCCTGCTTCATAGCTGTTTCCTCTTCTCCAGCCTCTCCCCTGTAAGTACCAATGACCACTTGCTACAGTTGTCACTTGCTATGTCAACTTGCTACGACATCACTACAATCACTGCAGGGCTGCTTATGTGGCATTCTCTTTGACCTACTTCATGCCCTTCTTGCAAACTAGTCCATTGTAATCAGTGCTAAATTGACTAACCACGGCTCTCCTCCCACTACAGGGAGACACCAAGGCAGACATCTTAGCTTGGCTGGCATCAACCCCTCAGCCGGAAGACTCCTGCCTTTCCTACCTCGTTTGCTAGAATTCTTACGTATTCTTTCCTTCCTTGTAGGAAGAATGTCTCAGTACTCCCCCAACCTTAAACCTTCCCATGTGCAGTTCTATGTTTTTTCTATTTGCTTTGCCTAGAATGACTCTTCATTGTCTCTAGATTCTCAAGTCCTGTTCATCTTCCACGTGCCCAGTCAGAATTTTCCATGAAATTTTTCTTTTCTATTTTTGATGGAACTAGGCATTGATCATAGGGTCTCCAATATGCCAGACAAGCACTATACACCACTGAGCTAGATACCCAGCCCTGGGATTTCTTAAAATATAATTTTCCCTTAGAGCACACATTAATTGATTCCTGCCTGGTCAGCCATTGAGTTAGCTTTTGTATCAACACTCACTCTTGTTCACTGGGTAAGGCTTGGTAAAGCGGAGCTCATGTATGCTGTGTTTCACTGTTCTCTGCTCTCCGCTCTGGTCTCACATGTATCACTTGAGTAACAGAAGCAGAGAGCAGGAAATGAATCCTAGTTTACTTTCTCCTTTTTAAGAAATGGAAATGGAGTCCATTTGTCTTAATCCACACAAAGAGACACAGAGTTCAGTGCTCAAAGAACGGCAGTTCTGGTGTGCACTTGGCAGGGACAGCTGTTGAAAATTGAAATGTTACAGTTCACAAAAAGACCTAGGTCATCTGTTCAACCCTGTTTTCATGGAGGGCTCACTGAAAACCACCCTAGGACGAATAAGACATTTGCTCACCTATGCCGCAGGAGAAACTCCTGAGCCATCTGCCGGCCCAGGAATGACTTACTTGTGAATATGAACTCTGAGTTTTAAAGCAGATGCAGGTGTGCCTCCTGCAACCCACATTCTTATTTTGCCTCCGGAAGATGAAGAATTTGGATAATCAGAAGCAGTACCTGCGCAGGCAACGTGGCAGTGATTCTTCTGTTGTCTTCTCTCATTTCTGCACCACGTAAAGCTGTTTATCTGGAATATGCCATAGTCAATGCTCCCATCCTTCAGGAAAGTCCGGACTGTGGTGTTGTAGTGGCTCTCGTAGTATGCCATGCAGATCCCTATATGGGGAGAGAAAGACCTAAGGAGACCACAGTCCTTTAGTTCAGCCTGCCCTGTGAGGTGACTTTCTTTATACAATTTCTTTATACCCACTGGCCTCCTCCCAGCAGAACTTTGGGTGAGATGCACAAGTGAGAAATATCAGCAGGACATGGGAGTGTGTACAGGAGCAGGGGTGCCAACCAGAACCTGCACAGCAGTCAGTAGCTGAGCCTTATCTGGGGAATCCTGGTCTCCCCCACACACTGGGATGAGTGGCATCGTTGTTCTTTTCCCTCCCTGGGGACATGAGCATAGGACTCCAGCAATGAGCAACCAGAGACCATGGGGAGAAGGAGAGAAGGGTGAGCATGAGCAGCTCAGGAGAACATGTGAAGAGCTGGCAGCCATCTCCGGTGGGAGTAGAGCTTGTTGGGCTGGAGACCACCAGGTGGAAACACGGAGTGGATCTGCAACACCTCCTAGAAGACGCCCACACTCAAAACTAGAATGAGACAGGAGGTAGGGGAGAAATCTCACAGTTTCCAAGGGTAAATCCCTCGTAATTGTCCAGGCCAGCCTTCACAAATATTTTTGCCAGTTTACATCGGGTGTAGACTTTGGATTCTGCAACTATGCTGAGGCTGATAATCAGGGCCAAGATGCCAACAGCCTTCATCCCCCAGGCCCGTTGGAAGCAGAGTCTGCCAAAAGATCCGGAGAGCAGTCAGGCAACCTTGATTCATCCTCAGAGCACCAGTCACCAGAGTTTCAGAACACAGTTCTCTTGGTTGAGGGCAACCCCACGTTAGTACTTCTTGGTTGTGGGCAACCCCACCTGTGGTGATATTTTGTTTATGCTATAACAAATAAAGCGTGCCTGAAGATCAGAGTGCAGAGCTAAGCCATTAGTTAGCCACAGAGGCCAGGCAGTAGTGGCACACACTTTTAATCCCAGCACCAGGGAGACAGATGCAGACGGATCTCTGTGAGTTCAAGGCCACCCTGGGCTACAAGAGACTGATTAACTGTGACTCTGTCTAAAAGAGAAAAAGAGCTCACACAAAGGTGATTCCTGCATTTGGGATCACATGCCCTTAATCCAGCACTAAGGAGGTGGAGACAGGAGTGATATGGCTGGGCAGAGAGAAGAACATAAGGCGGGAGGAGACAGGAACGCAGTACAGTTTGAGGAGCAATACAGTCTGAGGCGGTGAGACTGAGGAGGCAGTCTGAGAACAGGATACCCCTTTGGTCTGAGCATTGGTAGAATAAGAAAACTATAGTGGCTGGCCACTCTGCTTCTCTGATCCTTCAGCTTTCACCCCTGATAGCTGACTCCAAGTTTTTATTATTAAGAACAATTAGAATTCATGCTACACCCACCTGATTACGTCCTGCCCGTTTTCAGCCATTCTGAACCTCTATTGGGGGGAAAAAGGAGAAAATAACTCAGACACAACACACAGGGCAGGAGTAAGACTGGAGGATCTTGCTGCTGTATCCTTAGAGTCAGACAAAGAGAAATGTACCTTCCCTCACTGACATCCAGGTGGACACCATGTCCTTTCCAGATATTCACCCTAACTCAGTATAGATGAAGAAAGGAGGGAGGAAGGTATTCCATACATATGCACTCAATTTTGGCAGCAAGAGATGGGACAGATGAGTGTCTGCGGGGACACTGGACTTCTGATCTGCAGAGGGCTCTGTGTCTCTGCCATTCTCTTATTTGATGCTTTTCCAGATGGGGAGGTGTTGAGAGACATACCAGTCTCTCATCTGACTTTGAAAAACGATGGAGTGTTTTTGTTTGTTGTTTGTTTTTTGTGGGTTTTTTTTAGGGGTTTCCCTCACTGCTACTCCAGTGGAGGTCTCTACATGTTTGGCTTCTGGTAAATTTGCGTGGAGAGAGGACAATGGTCAGATGAGTGGGAAATGTTGAGGGTGAGGGGCAGGAGCAACAAAAAACCTGGTGATGACTTATTTCAAAGGGTTTCGAGAGTGGGAGTTGTATTTCTTGTTGGCGCTGGCTTCCAGTAAGATCTTTTCCCATGCAAACAATGCCATCTTCAAGCAACACTGCGGGAATGAGGCTGTAGTGATATCTCTGATAATTACTCAAGACACTAAGATTTGTACAGTTTTTTGTCTATTATTATTTTCTGCAACTGCCTAGAATCTTCCCAAGGTGCTAGTCATTCCCATGGAGATAGATTTCCCCCCAATTGAGAAGTTTGAAAACAGGACTCAGTGTGCAAGCATGAACTAGCAGAGGACCACAGTGGGTTTTCCAGTTTCTAAGCAATGGGGTACCTGGATGCTGGTGAAGGACAAGGCTCAGAAAATCAGATCTATTTTTCCAAGTAAGGTTTTATTGGAACTCGGGTGGTATGCATGGTAGTATATTGGTGGCATATGGTGGCCTATATGGTTGTATGGTGTGCTTGGCTGCTTCCACAGTGCTGCAGTGTCAGTCCTCAGGAACCATGACAAACTGTAGAGGCCACCAAACCTACAATACCATCTGTCTCTTTAGGGAAGTGTGTTGCCCAGTGACTTTACACTAGGTACAGAGAGGCAGACAGATGATGTGTAGGAGACTACAAATCTGGTCAGTTTCCATCCATTGCATCAGAATATGCTCTGAAACAGAACAAGACAATAGCCATAGCAGTGGCAGCCCCAAGCATACTGCTCAACCACTCTGAAGCCAGGGCTTGCCCTTGCTGGGCTGGTCAGACAGCTGTGGTTCCACTCCTACTGAGAAGGTAGATTCCCAGTGCCATCTGTAGACTAGTTTCCTGGGTGATGGGTGGGAGAAACCTGGTTCTACTTACTCAGTCAGTGAGTGGTAGTTTCCAGGAAGGACCTTCGTGAATCCCCTGAAGCCATTTCTGATTCTCACAAGGCACAAGTGATCCTTCACTAACTCAAGGGCCTTTCCCTAGAACCTTGGCAAAGGAAGGGTTCTTATTGCCTTTGTTTCCAGATGCCTGGAGGTTCTAGAACACCAAAGTTCTCAACAGTCTTGTTTGACATCTACCTGTGTCTCTTTTTATTCTTCCTAGTCAACAGCCTGAGCCATTAGACAACTTAGCCAAGGTCTCCCTTGCAAGTGAGATCACCTTTCTAAAATAGCAGTCTCCAAACTTCATCCCAACCCACATCACTAAGTGGGCATGAACCCAGAATTTCAATTACAGGTTCCTGCACTTCCATGCTTTATCGACCATCAACACTATATATGTTAAAATTTAAAAGAAAAAGGTGAAATTAACATTTAAGACTTTAACAGCATAAATTTATTTACTTTACGCAAATGGCTATTAATAAAATGTTGTTAGAAAAACAGGAGAATCCAAGGAGAACTTAACAGCGCCTAGAGGACAGGAATGCAGTATTACAGTGCAAGAACTCCCAATCCCAATAAAATATTTGTACATGACAAGCACTCTTTCACTATTATTGAAAATGTTAACATGGCACAAAAGATCTGGTTTTGAGCCCATTTGTCTCCCGGCTTCAATGGGACAATACATCAAAATTTTAATCGTCATATGCAGGTCTAGTTAGAAGGATATTGCCAGTGGTATTAATCACTACATATTCTTAAATTTATTCTGCCAATAATGCAGATGTTTTGCCCAAATTTACTTTTAAGTCTTGTTCAGAGCTAGAGTAACATACACAGTTCATCGCTGTGCATACAGGAGCTATTTCTTTCTTCTAATACAAAGATATTATAATCAATAATCTCACACAGGCTATTTTTCTTTACTTTTCTAAGAATGTCTGTAGGACCAGTTCCTGGGAAGGGGTTTCCTGGGATTTTATGATTTTGTATTGTCAGATTGCATTCCATATGGATTCATGTTAGGAGGCAGGGATCCTTCCCCACTGTCTGCCTCACACACGGTGTTGTCAAGCACGGTAGTGTTGCCAGTGTGAGATAAACTACGGTTCTCAGTGGAGCTTCAGCATCTGCCTCCCTAGTTTCAAGCTGTTTGAGCATCTTTTCCTATGTGAACTCTATTCATGGATGTCGTGGAAAGTGTGTGATGAGAGGAAAAGTGTAGGCTTATCTTCAAATTCCCTTCAGCATGCTTCGAAAATCAGATTTTACTATTTAGCAAGTCACAGGAACAACTGAAGAAGCTTTTTTTAATTTTCTTTCTAAAATACCTGCTTAACATCTTTACAGGCTATGGGAAAGATGTACAAAAGCCATTCACATTTTTCATATTTTGTATCAGTCACTTTCCTATTGCTGTTATAACACACCACCAGTATATAAATTGAAATCTAATAAAATGGGTGGAAGGGTTATGTGCTGATGATGAATCAACGAAAATCTAAATGGATAGAAAAGACACACCAGGCTCATGCACTTATATGAAGATTTGGCTTTCATATTTAGTAGAGTCTCGGTTAAAATTCCAGACATTTGCTCTGGAAATATCAGTCAGGTTATTCTAAAGCATATTTGAAAGCAGAGCTGACTGGGACAGTTAAAAGCATCCTGTAAAGATAATGAAGTGAGAGGGCCCACGGTGACCAACTTTAACATAATACTAAGTTGCTTCATTTTAGGTGGGGTGACTGATGAGAAGACCAATGTGGGTCAATGGAATGGGAGGCAGAGCCCATCAAAAGACAGTCAGCTGAATGCTGTCAGAGATACAGATGTCATTAGGTGAGATGATGTTCTTTCTGAAACATGGCTGGGACAATGACAAACAACAAGAAGAGAAGGCATTGAAGGAGATGTATGTGACACTTTCCATAAGGCATAACTTGTAGCTGGTCAATGACCCACTTGTAAAGAGTAAGCTTGTAAAGTTTCTGTATGTTAACACCAAGATTCTTCTGATTTTTGAGTTTCTGTGCTAAATTTTATGCCAAATTTTCATTTTGAATTTTGTGCCAGAATTTCACTGCCAAACTCAATTCATGAAATAATTAAAGATAGTTACAAGCTGGACTTGACCAAATCAAAACTTCAGCTCTCTGAAAAATGCTGTTAAGAAAAAGAAAAGACTAGCCACAGTTTGTGAAAATATTTACATGCCGCATGTCTGATAAAGAAGTTCTGTATCCAGATTTACACACACACATACACACATTGTGTATCTTAGAATTCAACAGTGAGCAAACAACCCAATTTAAAAATGAACAACAGTGAGCAATAGGGCATCTCCATCACACCCTGCCCAGCAAGGCCCAGGGACCGTTGTAAAAGAGGAGGCAGAGAAATTATAAGTGGGAGTGGGAGTGAAACTAGCTTCTGGATATGAGGCTATCTCTGCCTTCATGAACTCACAGCAGCCATGGCTGTCTGACCACAACCTGCACAAAATCAAGGTATCAACATCTCGTCATGGAGTGGGGAGGGACTCTTGAGACTTCCCCCTGACTGCAAATTGGCAGCTTCTGGGGGAAAGACAGTTTTCTTTAAGGGTATGGCCTCTGCTAAGTTGACCAGTGGATTACTCCATACTCTTGAGTACACAGGCAGCACAAATTAGACTTGGTGTATTATTGTTAGTATACTTTTTTAAAAAGGAAGACACAAAGTTGGGAGGGGATGGCAAGGTGGGGATGGATCTAAGAGGAGATAGGGAGGGTGGGGGATGAATATGATCAATATATATGTCTGCATGCAAGCAAAATTCTCAAAAATGAATAAAATATAGTTATGTTTTCTTTGAAAGAAATTAGCAAAAACCATCTGCAATGGGGCATCAAAGAAGATATGTAGGCAGCAAAACAGTTGAGTGGACATCTCCCATCATCTGTTGCTAAGTGATTTCTAAAACTACAATGACTTTTGCTTCAATTCTAACTGAAATTGCCATACAACAAGCTGGTTGTACTCAATGAAGCCAAGGAAAAGAAGGAATATTTATACCTTGCTTGCAAAGGGCAGTGTGGCTTGCACATTTGGAAAGTAGCTAGGTAAAGTTTCTTGCACAGTTAGACACAGGCTTATGGTAGAAACCAAACCACTCTAACGTACTTTTATTCAAGTGAATCAAAAACTTATATTCAAACAAAATCAAGTTAAATAATGTCTATACCATAGCTTCATGGACAGCCACTAGGAACCAAAGGCAGCACAGGTGTCCTTCAGCAGGGAAATGTAGACATGAAGTTTGGTACATCTTACCATGAACAGTAGTTCTTGCTCAGTACTGACTGATCTTCATAACCACAAGGATGGTTCAGATACGTGTTGCTAAGTGAAAGCAGCGCCGTCCAAAGGACACATATTAAATGATGCCAATTACATGATGCTATGAAAAGGCAAAACCATGGGTATAGAAACTGGATAGTTGTGGTGAGTGATCAGGGGAGGGTTTGATGACAGAGGGTCTCTTAGAGAAATGTCAAGTCAATTAGCAGTAGTCTCTGTAGTGGCAGGGTAGGGGACACCTGACTTCCTGACTGAATCAAAGCTCATAGAACTACACAGCACTAACAGTGAACTTCTGTGTGTGACAGAAGAATACTCAGCCAGAATGTGGGACTCCATGAGATGGGCCTCAAGTGCAACAAGAAGACTTGCCTGTCATAAATGTATGATGGACCTCCCCGGGGGAGATGGAGGGAAAGCCACTAATAGAACTGAAAAAAAAAACGATATTTTTTCCTGGCTATTTAGACCTAAAGACAAAATATATGTACAGAAATTATATACTTTGGTTGGTTACTTTGCTTCTTGGGTAGGAGGGCTATCAAGCCTATAAAAGTCTATCAAAGGTTATCGTTTATAAAACTGCCCCAACGTCCATGGGGGCCTCAGTTAGGAAAGAGATTCCTTAAAAGTTCAAGGACCTGAGTTTGGATGCTCTGCACCCATGTAAAAGCTAGACACTGTGGCACGTGCCTGTAACCCTAGCACTGGGGAGATTGTTTCAGAATGATCTGAAGCTCACTAGATGGCTCAGTGGGCTCCAGATTTGCTGAAAGTCTCAAAAATTAAATAGTATATGAGAAGAAGCCTGATGCTGACATCTGGCCTCCTCACACATGCTTACAAACATACACATTCAATGACACACGCTTGCACATGCACACATGCAAAACTCTAAGGTTGAACAAATGTATCAGTATATGGTAGCTAATGGGGGGCATCAGGGTTCACACTGTCAGAGGAACTATTAAGAAACAAAATAATAAATCCTGTGATGGTGGATGAGGACAAGTGGTATCAACAGCTACCTGTGTACCATGTATCCTCTGCCATCACCTCTCATCTATCCTCTATCCATCACCTCTCCTCTTCCTGTGTACCATGTATCCTCTATCCATCACCTCTCATCTATCCTCTATCCATCACCTCTCCGCTTCCTGTGTACCATGTATCCTCTATCCATCACCTCTCATCTATCCTCTATCCATCACCTCTCCGCTTCCTGTGTACCATGTATCCTCTATCCATCACCTCTCCTCTTCCTGTGTACCATGTATCCTCTATCCATCACCTTTCCTCTTCCTGTGTACCATCTATCCTCTATCCATCACCTCTCCTCTTCCTGTGTACCATCTATCCTCTATCCATCACCTCTCCTCTACCTGTGTACCATCTATCCTCTATCCATCACCTCTCATCTTCCTGTGTACCATCTATCCTCTATGCATCACCTCTTACCTCTTCTCAGGAGGAAAAATAGGTATGTGCATAAACATTAGTCCACATATACTTATTCCTTAACGATGTCTTCTTAGACGACCTAGACAGAGACACACCAGTGGCAATGCATGCACTCCTTGCTCAGAACCTGCATATAGTCTTATTCTCCAGCCAAAGGAACCACAACGCCTTGGAAAATTGGCTGGTTTCAGACCAAGGGCAGGAAAAATAAGCAAGATGAGCCTGAATCATCTTGTTAGTGTAAGAAAATAAGGAAGTACTTAAAAAGAGAAAAACAAAGGGTGTGGAGTGGTTGAACATATCAA